CCCATGGGACTCTGGGTGACAGCCATCGTTGGGGCAAAAGCATCCACTCCCGGGTCCTCCAGCCCATGGCCTTCTAAACACAGCAGATTCGGGATGGGTGGTGACTACTTAGGCGGTGACCTCCTGAGCCAGGACAGGAGTTCCCAGGAAAAGGACTTTGTTTCGTTGACTGATGCAGCCCCAGAGCCAGAACATGTGGGGCTCTCAGTGGCCCCCACCGGAAAGGTGATGAATGAATGTTCTAAGGCCACTTTCTTCCGTGCTTAGGAGCAATCTGCTGGGAGAGCTTGAGCAACGTGGTATTTCTTTATCACAGAAAGCGAGTTCTGCACATAAGCAGCATCATCCTGTTGGCCAGTCCCTGCAGGGGACATCCGCACAGAAGAAGCCACTTTCGGGCCCGGGTGTCACAGCTGATGGTAGAAAGTGGGTGAGCACCCTGGACTTGGGGCTGAGCCTGTGGGAGGAGCTGGGGAAACAGCCCCCCTAATCCTGGCATACTGGAACTAAAGATCCCTCCTGGAGCATAAAATAGGTAAACTGAGGACAAGTCAACAGAAATAAAACTGCACATGGGTGCTTTAAAGCTCACAGGCCTCAGGAAATGCTGCTGACATCAACAGTCATGCAACTCTGAAGAGTTATAGAAAACATTCCGGGTCAGAGATATTCAGTGAGACATTACGGCCAACGAGGGATGCTTTGAGCTTGATCACAGAGGATGAGCTTGCCCTACTGCAGGGCTCAGGGGACCATGGCAGGCTTCGGTGGTTCCCCTCCCGAGGGGCTCAATACAACTCAGCCATGGTCCCCTCTGCAGGACCCGTACCCCTGGATGCTGCCTGTCCCATGACAAGTCACGTGCTGACTACAGGGGCCTTCACCTCCCTCCGCCCCCAACTCCAGCGGAAGCTGCTGGAAGTCCTGGCATTCACTGCCGTGCCTTGCCCCAGATGGAGCCTGGTGTTGCTGCGTGGATTTCAAGAGGCCCCGTGGAGGGAGGCGTGGATTCCCCTGGCTGCTACCCAAGCCTTTCTGCCAGATCAAGAATGAAAAGTCACTTTTTAAGTCAGTGCTTCTCAACTGGGCGGAGTCTGCCCCCCACAGGGGACACTCGTGACATCTACAGACATTTGAGGTCATCGCCACCCTGGACCGGTGCTGCTGGCCTTGCAGGGTGGGGGCAGGCTGCTGCTCAGTGTCCCACGGTGCCCAAGACAGGCTGACAGCAAAGTGAATGGGCCCACAGGCAGTCGTGCCAAGGCCGAGGAAGCCTGACATCAGCAAACCAACCAGCCCAAATGTAAGGCTCGTAGATGGCGCCTGTTAGGGAGCGCTTGGTCATTTTGTGGAAAGATTTTTCGTTTTGCAACAAGATCTGTCCTGGGATTCCATGAAAACAGGCCGAACATGTCGATGGCTCCATTCTGGGATCCTGTTTGCACATTTCCTGTGATGTTCTTGTAGAGGACGACTCTGCCCTAAACCCAAGGCAGCAGACACTTCATCCCGTGACCTCAGGACGGGCATCACAGCACCACACGGATGGAGGCGCAGTGGGAACAGCACGGGCTGGGTTTGATGTCACCACTTCTGCACCCCCTCGAGAAGCCACAAGCTCCTAGCTCAGTGACCCCCTCACACACAGGATGAGGCTCGATGCAGGCTCACAGCAGGGCAGCTGCAGGCCCAGAAACCCCAAACATTTGTGGCAAAGAAGGACCAGCCAGCAGAGCCTCTGGAGAGGACCTGAGGAAGGATGGCCATGCAGACCTTCAGGACTGAGAAGCCAATCGATGCTGTCCTCTGCAGAAAGATTGGTCCCTGTGGGAAAACTAACCCTGGTTTCCTACTAGCCCCTGGTCAAGACTGACTGCCCATCACAGGCCACCACATGACCACACCGCAGAAGCTGCCCCTGGTGAGCCCACCCTGCAGTGATGCCCCATGGGTACAGCGGCAGCCTGCCCTCTGGGGGTGGCAGGTAGGGCACGGAGCTCAGCAGGCCCGGAAGGCATGAAGCCGGCCCAGAGGGCTCAGAAAAGTGGCACAAGCCTGGGACTGGGACCCACCGGCACCTCCCATGTGGAGTTGCCTCCCCACACCCAGAAGATGCCCGGGGCACTGCAGCAAAACGGCTGGCCCAGCTGTGTTCTCACCCCCGCGTGCCCAGGCTGCAAAAGCAGACGACCCCAAATCGAGGAGCCCCACCAAGAGCCTCTGTGGAGAAGTCACCTGCTTTCCTCGTGAGGCTGTGAAAAGGACACCTGTGCTTCCCAGGATGCGCGGTCTTGGTGCTGGAGTGATTTAAACACACTACTTCGGGATGTTCTTTCTTCTCATCTTTCTATTACACTTTTATTGATCTGAATTTCCTGGGTTGAAGGAGGAAAAAAAAAAAAAACAGCCTCACTGAAGCCCATTTTTCTTTTCTGATTTCTACTTTTGTTGCCATTCATATAAACGGAACACACAAGACAACGGCACAGAGGATGAGGCAGGGACCACAGTGGGGAGCGCAGGCGTCATTAGCTGTCACGGCTGCGAGGTGGCGTGGCATCCACAGCAACTCTGCCTCCTCCAGGTGTCATGTTAGGAACAAACGAATCAGTTCCTGTTCCAAACATTTTGAAGCACAGTGGGACCTAACGTTCTTGCAGGAAACAATCAAGGGTTGGGGATGGATTCGCTGAGAATCTTCCCTCTAAATTAGTCTAGGCAGAGAATGATCCAAACAATTTCTGGGTGCACGTTGCTTCGGTCTCTGGAAGGTTTACGGCGTTGTGAGTTCAGTGGAAGCCGTCTCATTAGATGGGAAAGCTGGGCGTTCGTGCCATCCCGTTGCCGAATTCAGCTCCCAAGGTGTCTTGGTAAGTGGCATTGCCTCGCCAGGGACTGGGGATGTTCAGGCAGGATGCTCAGAGCCAGGCTCTCGCTCACTGGGCAGGGCCCAGGCACACACACCTCTGGGCCACGCTCCAGTTGCAGGTTTAAAACCAAGCCCAGAGGGCTGGCAAGCTGCTTCTCTCCCAGGGATGCTGGAAAGACGTTGCTAACAGGCTAAGGCTCCAGCTTCCTGAAGAAGTAAGCAGAGGCCGGGGTTGTTCAGTGGTCACCAAGGACTGGGACCTGAGCTTCAAGAACTGCAGGGCCACAGGGTTGAGGGGGTGACAGAGCCTGGTGAGGCCAAGACACTGGGCTCCTATGATTCCTGGACATTGAGTAGGGTCGTTCTGGAAGACTCTCAGCCAGGAGCAGCAGCCCCAAACCTTCTTCCAGGACACTGCCCCACCAGAGCCAAGCGGAGGCTCTCAGGAGGTTGGGGGATTTATGGTGGCTTTTACTGAGGTCAAGGAGATCCCCGAACAATAGAGACGAAGGGATCCTCACAACCACAGCTCCCAACTCAGGAAACCGCAGTGCAGGCTCTGCCTCAGGGCTGAACGGTAGAGAGGAGCAGAATGATTTTCCCACAGAGCGGGAGCCTCTTCTGGGGCACGTCCTGGTGGGAACAGGCCCCAGGCCTGGGCAGAGCAGGCAGATGCATCCGCCTCCTATCCCGGCCGCTGCTCCCAGAGCCCCCCTGCCGGTGCACCCGGGAAGCCCCCCTCCAGCCACACCCGCCCTGGGCCCCACGCCCGTCCCGGCCCAGGCAGGAGTGGGCTCTCGTCAGCGAGTCCCATTCCACACTTCACCCCTCACTGACAGCTCAGCTGCTCTGCAAAGGACAGCTGGCCTCGGGTCACCCTGCAACCGTCACACTGTCCTTTGACCTTGCCTACATGACGGCCCCATTACTCCTTCTGTCGGAGAGAAACAGTCCTCAAACCCCGCCCCGCTTCCCCTCCTAGCCCTCCCGGCTCTGAAGGCTCTGGCTGAGCGGGGCGGGGCCCCACGGCTCAGACCGTGACAAATGTCCAGCAATCAATGCAGCCCCGGGGTCGGTGGCAATTCCTGTCTTTCCTTCAGATTGTTTTTCTGATTGTCACTATAGACACTTCTACAGAAGATTTGAAAAACACAGAGGAGCTGAAGAAAAATACAACTTCCGGGCGAAGCCCTCCTCCGAGTGCGGCCGCCATGTTTCCCGGTGGCGTCTTCACGCGACTCCTTGCGGACGATCTCGCCTGCCGTCCCCGCCTTCCGGGGGGCACTGACTGGGACGCACGGCGCGGGGTGGTTCTCTAGGAGCCCGGCTCGGAGGTCTTTGGAGCTCGGGTCAGGGCTGTCTGCGGCCCTGGCGTCTGCTGAAGGCCCGGAGCCTCACTCCCTCCCGGGGACCCCGGGTTGCGCGGGCCCGGCTGCTCAGGGACCGTCAGGACGTCTTCAGGCCCAGGCCCTGTGCGCCGCTCTGGGGTGTGAGGGCCGGTGAGGGCCGGCGGTCATGGGGCTGCTGAGGAGCCGGGTGCGGGCCGCAGCGGCCTCCAGGGCCAGGTCAGGGTCCGCCGGGCCCGAGTGAACCAGGCGGGCAGCAGAGGGATGGGGCGCTTCCGGCCGCCCCACGCCGCCCCAGCCTGTGCCGGGAGCCAGCAGCCCAGGTTCGGGGTCAGAGAGGCCTCATAAAGCCCGGGCTCCTGTGGTCTCCTCATGCGGGAAGGTCCAGAGCCCGCGCCGACCAGCATTCCCCGTGGAAGCGGCGGCCCTGAGCGCTGGGGGTCCCTGAGCTGGCCCCACAGTCTCTCCCAGGCCTGAGAGGGGCGTTTCTCTTGTCCTTGCCCCCTGCCTGACAGGCACTTCGGTTTTCATCCTGCCCTGGAAACGCTCCCTCTGGAACCCGCCGGCCCCTGGCCCTGCGCTCAGCCCGGGGGTGCTGGCCCCGGAGCCAACGTGGAGGCAGCGCCGGGCTCCAGAGGACGGACCGCAGACCTGGGCTGGGAGGCGCTGGCGAGCACGCAGTTCCTTCCGGCTCATCCCAGCCTCACCCGCGGAGTCACCACAGCAGAATAGAGTCATAGCCCGGGTGTGGGGGTAGCGGGGATGTTAATCATTTTAAAGAATCACAGATTTTAAGTCATGCCAGGGGCTCTGGTGGAAAGGTCATGGGGAGCCAGGCCTCCGCATCTTAGCATTTCAGCTGGAGGATGACCGGGAGCTCTGGCGTGGCCCTAGACCTGGAACTGAACACCCAGGCGCAGCAGCAGGCATTTCTCTTGCTTTTTCTTTATGAGTAAGTGGCCTGGCTATCCAGTGAGCAGTTTTCACAATTCATTTTATATAAGAAAAAAATTAGCTTTCTCTCTACCCGTCCCCTACTTTTCTCCATCTCTCTCCAGCTGACCTGGCCTGGCCACGTCCCCGTCAATGCAGCTGGTTCTCAACGGACCCACTCTTCCCCAGGGCTCCGTTTACAACCAACCTGCTTGTCCTGCTGCACTTAGAGGCAGACGTGCTCCTCCTGAGAATCCAGGAGTGGACTGAAGAGACCACGTTGCTTTCTGATCTTTCTCAGGCCAGAGGAAGTTTGTGGGCCAAGTGATATTCCTAATTCAAACTTTATTATGTAATTATAGTACAAAACATATTATTTTTCTCTTTATTTTTCCTCTCTCGGTTAATGGTAAATTTTATTGCATAAATAAATTACACATGCTGTAATTCATGCCTCGCAGCCTACACACCAATTAAACCCGAAGCTGACACAGTCCACGCACAATTACATGGAATCTGCAAAGTGAAAGGATCATGTATTTGCGCTGCGGTAATAGGCAGAGCCATTTAGCGACGTGACGGCTGTAAGTGCGGGGTAAGCGGAGTCTGTGCTGGGGGGTGATTGATGGACCCTGCGAGAGGCGTCAGGACAGCACATAGCCTCACATCGAGCTGGGCAGCGTGTACAGGACATCACACATCCCAAGACTCACAAGCAACACCCTCGGAGTGTCTCCCGACGGGCAGGAGGGGTGTCCAGGCTGAGCAGACGAGGCAGCTGCTCTTCTCCACTCCAGAAGGACCCTTAAGGTCATAAATCCCCAAATGCTCCTGCCCCGCTCTCAGGGTGTGGGTCTGACTGCCAGCCTCTGCAGAGGGGCCCTCAACTCAAGCCACCCTCAGGATGGTCCCCGGTGTCCTGGGGAGGGAAGATGGAGGCCACACTATGCTAAAAGACTCCTCCATTCCTCCTTCTCCCTCCCCACTTCTGAGGATGCCTCCTGGGGGCAGAGGGTACACAGCACAGACTGTAAAGAACAGGCAACTCCTTTCAGCTCCTGCTGCCTCCGGCTCCTGCCTCTCCCTGGGAGGCCTCAGGGTCCCCCCAGCCAGTGTGCTTCCTGGCATGGTCTACCCTCGGGGTCACTCCTGGGGGTCAGTGCCTGGGAGGTGGAAGAAAATGAATAAGAGAAACCATGGAAGACAGGGAAGTGGTGTGGAGGGACAGTGTACACCCGAAGTCAACCACTGGCCCCTCCTGCAGATTAAAGAAAATACCGAAGGAGGTAAGGAGGGAGCTGTTGCTGCACCAGGGCAGGGAAGCCACAGGACGCAGGTTTAGCTACAGTGCAGGAATGTCGGCAGGAATTCGTAGAACCTCATCTGTGCTCAGGGTGTAATCAGTTGTATTCCATGGGACCCGACTAATGCCATTCTATGGACAGGAACCGTAGGTGTTGCTCTTTTCCTAAAGTAGCTCCTATCTGGATAGAGTCATGAAATAGCTGAGAAAAGAGGCTCGCCCCAAGGGTCAGACCACCCCAGAGCCCAGCATTCCACAGACGTGATCTTCAGCAAACCCACTGCCCATTCCAAAGTCCTGGCCATCTCTTGCCACAAGGAAAAAGAAAGATGGCTGAGAATCCCTAGGAGGGAGTTAGAATGGGGCCCCAAACAATTGTCTGCAGGTCACGCTGAGTGGAGTCAGAGGCTCAGGCTGCTGCTCAGGCCAGAGAAAAGTCAGCCCCATCCAGGAAGGTGACCGCTGCCATTCATGGCCACAGGGTCCACATTGCCAAGAAAGTGTCCACACAGCCCTCCCGCTGCAGAGCTGCAAGCTTTGTAAACAAGAGGTGGCTTTGTTTTCTTTTCTTTCTTGAGATTGGGTCTTGCTCTGTTGCCCAGGCTGGAGTGCAGTGGCACAATCATAGCTCACTGCAGCCTTGAAATCCTGGGCTCAGGCAGTCCTTCCACCTCGTCCTCCCAAGTAGCTAGGATCACAGGCGTGTGCCACCACACTTGCTAATTTGTTTATTTTTAGTAGAGACAGGGGCTTGCTATGTTGCCCACTCCTAGGCTCGAGCAGCCCTCCTGCCTCGGCCTTGGCAAGGCTGATGAAGCGTGAGTCCTGAAGGCAGCTGATTCTCGATTCAATTAGAGATGCAATCTTTACGTGTGCCTGGTCTCCATGCCCTGAACCACGGGGAGCTCCAAATGGAGTCAGGAATAGATTTTATGCCCAGAAAAAAACTGGTGGTAGAGGCAGGGAAGAGGCCACAGTGAGCTACCAGGCGACTGAGGAGATGGGAACGCACCCTGAGCCCCAGAGCATGAGGCAGCAGGGGCCACGGGACGGCCCTAGGCACAGCGGGTATCACCCACGAAAAGCCACCAGGAAGGGAGATAAACAGTGAGAGGCACAGAGGAGCCCTCAGTGCCTGCTGCTGAGGGAAGGAGCCAGTCTGGAAAGGATGCATGCAGCACGATCCCCACCCTGACGCCTGGGAAAGGCAGAACTCAGGAGACAGCGGGAAGAGCCGTGGTTGCCAAGGGCTAGGACAGGAGGATGAACGGGCAGAGCCCAGAGGGGTTTAGGGGTGACACTCCCCTGTGTGATGGCATAATGGGGGACGCGTGTCACTATCCATTTGTCCAAACCATAGGATGTGCCACCGCAGGCATGAGCCCTCCAGTGCGCCGCAGACTCCAGTGAATGACAGCAGCATTGGCAGGACTGTGACAAACGCTCCACTCTAAGGCGGGATGCTAGGAGCAACCGGGGAGGCAGGAGGGGCATGTGTGGGAACTCCACACTTTCTGGTCACTCTTTCCATAACCCCAAAACCACTCTAAAGACTAAAGTCTATTACAAGGAAGGAAGGGAGGGGAGGGAGAGAAAGAGAGAGAGAGAGAGAGGAAGGGAGGAGGGAGGGAAAGAAAAGAAGAGACCAGATATGGTGACTCACACCTTCAATCACATCGCTTTGGGAGGCTGAGGTGGGGGGATTGCTGGAGCTCAGGAGTTCGAGACCAGCCTGGACAATGTGGTGAGCCTCATCTCTGCAAAAAAATGCAAAAGTTAGCGAGGTATGGTGCATGCCTGTGGTCCCAGCTACTCGGGCAGGAGGATCACGTGAGGCCAGGAGTTCAAGACCAGCTTAGGAAACATAGTGAGACCTCATCTCTATAAAAAATAAAACAAAAATGCTTAAATGGGAAAGGAAAGGGGGAGCAAGGTGACGGCATCTTGTGGTGGGACCCACGATTTCATTCTTCCTGCCAGGAAGTCACCTTCAATTCCGTGTCATGATTTTTAGAATACGTATTGTTCTTCTAACATGATGAAATACATGCTTGCTGCATAAAAATGTAAAAAGCGAAGATAGAGGTATTGATGGACCAGATGCGGCCCCTCCCCTCCTCTCCAGGGGTTGCCAAGCAGGTGCCCACCCTCCCCCAAAGGGCCCGGGGAACCGCTAGGAGGGGCTGGTCCTTCCCAGGCCTCTGGTGCCAGGGGTGTGTGGTGTGTGTCACACAGTGGCCTCAAGGAGTCTTGGTCGGGAGGCCCCTGAGCCAGGTGCAAAGGGGAGGCCAGCAGGCCCCTGAGCCAGGTGCAAAGGGGAGGCCAGCAGGCCCCTGAGCCAGGTGCAAAGGGGA